ATGACGATTATCTTTGGATCTTCCCCAATTTAACTCCCTCCCTCAAAGTCCGAATATCGTATAGTCCCGAAAATAAGTACCCCGTGACACTATCCTTATTTATTTGTCACGTAATTTTATTATATTATTCGGGACTATACGGTTTATACCTTATTAATTAACATAACAACCTTCATGACGCATATTTAGAATTTTTCTTTTATTTTTTTACTAAAATTTATTTCATTATATCTGTTTTTAATAATTAAATAAAATTATAAATAAAATAATTTTAATTTTTAAAAGAAAATTAAATGTTATAAATTATAAATAAACGACAATATTTACGATTGAAAATTCACAAGGGATATAATGCCTTCGTAAAGGAAATAGAAAATGAACTTTTTAAATATTATTAAATAAATCATGATTGAGATTTTAAATAATTTCGATTTTCGACGGTACCATCGAATCAAAGTGTTTTACCCCTATTTTGCACTTTTTTTTTTTTCCTACTTCCATCGATTTATAATTATTATGATAAAAAAAAATTTTTTTTAAAAAATATAGACCTCATAATTTCTTTGGATTTTATTATCTTAAAAAAAAAAAAAAATAAAATAAAATAAAAATGTTTCACGTATTGATGCAACGATGCCGAGCAATTTGTATCTAAAGTGTTCGTTTCGTGAAAATGATTCCTTTTGTTAGGATTTCCACGAATTCTGTTGTCGAGTCAACGTTGGTGTTACCGATTTTACCAATTTTGAAATCTTTTTTTTGGGTCTAGGATTTCCATGAATTCTGTTGTTTGATCCACTTTGGCGTTGTCGTTCATGATTCCTTTAGTTGGGTCTAGGATTTCCATGAATTCTGTTGTCGGGTCAACGTTGATTTTATCGATATCCATGATTCCTTTTGTTGAATCTACGTCAATTTCTATGATCTCTCTTGGTTGTTCCATGACAACATTGTTATCATAAAAAATCCTATTTTTGCCAGCCAATCAACAGAACGATAGTTAAGATGTAAAACAGCTATGGGTTTCATATCAATAATTTTTGTTACGGTAGACGGTGGAATTTTTGTCCACGACATCATATCCAGTGGTATAATCAATCTCCCCATTATCAGCCGTATATGTAACCTTAACTTGTTTGACTTCAAATTTTGGTTTAATTAAAGCACTTTCGTCAACAATAATTCCTTTGAAAACAAGCAGTAATTGTTCCGGGTCTCCCATATGACGTTTGGTTTTGCTTATTTAGATATTTATTAACAGGATAAGGAACTTTGAATACACCATCATCTTTTTTTTCAAGTTGAGATGTGCTGGCAAATTTAAAGTAATATACTTGATCTCTTTCAAAATTAACGAAGTACGATATGGTCCTTGAGACATGTTGTTGGTGAAGATGATGAACTTCGTGAAATTGTCCATCTATATATAAACGTGAAATTATAATATTGGACGTGCTAGCTTGTTTGACCTCAGTTCTAATTGTAAACCGTTCTCCTGGGGTCATGACAGGGATATACGTTATAAAATTACTTTAAAAGATGAAAAGATGAAAAGATGGTAAATATCATATCATTAATTTCTTTTTTAAAAAACGTTACTAGATATATATATTTTTTTAAAAAAACATCTTACTTGCGGTTTTCTTTTTGTGTTATTGGATCCGTAACATAAGATACGCAGGTTTTATTAAACTAATTAATTATAATGCAATTAATATGAATTAATTTTTTTATTTTTTGTAAAGAAAAAAGAAATACTTAAACATTTTATTGTAAATTTACATTTGATTCATCACAGATTGATTGTATTCTGGTAAAGCTTGCCCATTAACCAATACTTCAAGGTGAAAATTTCCTAAATGCATTTTATTTTTCTGTATCATGAAATAAATTTTTATTATCAGGAAAGACGATATTATTATTAAATGTAGTATAATAAAAACAAAACTATGGCTTACCAGATGTAAATTAGATAAAAAAAATTTACTTTGAAAGCTTTAGCTTTGAGTTTAAAAGTTAAAAATGCAAGTATTTCTAAAATCAAGAAGAGTCGAAATATGGCAGATCTAAAATATCAAGAGATCTTATATAAGGTCGCACGCGTACGACTTAAAATTTGTCCGAACGAGACATTGTTCGTGTGACAATATAAGTCTGTAATATATATATTGACTACATTTCTTTTTTTTGATATCTATCCCATTTAACAAACTTAACGCGATTTTTTCATAAAAAATTTTTTTTAAAATAACAATAACAACGACTTTCCAAGGGTGAGTAATTTAAATAATTATATATATTTAATATCAGTTTTTAATTTTTTTTTTTATATAATTACAGCACGTTCGGCGTTTTCTCGTTAATGAACGAAATGTTAGAAATATTCTTGGCGAGATATAAAATAGGCCAAAATGCTCCTGCCGAACCTTCGTAACATTTAGGTCATGCGAGCATATGGTACGTATATTTTAGGAAACACATGAATGAGTTGTAGCTTTTGAAATTAACTAATACTTTAACATATGGGAGGTAAGCTATTAAAATCACGTTACGGATCATATGATTTACTATGTTGGTAACTTGATTTTAATAGCAAA